CCCCTTGGCGCAAGTCCCACCATCAACCCTCTGCGCCTTGACCTCGTCATCGTCAAGTTTTGGCGGCGGATCCATATTTTTCCGGACCTGGGTTAGCGATCCCCTAATGTTCGAACGCTGTTGGGGGACGGTGTGTTAGGGCAGTGGTAACGCTGCGCTAACACGCCGCCCCCTGTCCAGAGAAAGAAGAGAAGGTTACATCGAAAATATTTACCAAATTTAAAATATTTATTTTTAATTATTATAATATTATTATTTTTTTTTTTTTTTCTTTTTGGTCGGGCCGGGCAAGTGGACCCGGCCACTCTGGTAGCCTAGGTTAAGAATTAATTAAATGATTTTAATAATAACAAATAACAAATACGAAATTATTTTTACAGGTTGGTCGTCTTCCCTTCACAAATTGAACAAGCCTATTATTATGCTCGCCATGATGATGATATCCTTAGCCGAGGGCGACTCAGAAACTCAACTAAAAAACTGCTACAGTTATATACACTAACTTCTACACAAAACATAAAAATTATGAGACTCACATACCGGCGCAGATACGCACATACACACATACACACACATACACACACACACATACACACACACACATACACACACACACATACACACACAAGCTTATTTTTTAATAAAGAAAAAAATGATTAAATAGTAAAAAATATTTAAAAATATATATATATATATATATATATATATATATATAAAAGAACTAAAATAATAAAAATAAAAATAAATAATGGAATTTTTAATAAAAATATGGAAATAAATAAATAAATTTAAAATAAAAGAATTAACAATAAAGAAATGAATACTAACTAAAAAACAAAAAATAATTAATAAGAAATGAAAAATAAATAAGTCAATTAAATGGATGAAAATTTAATTATTTTTTCAAGTTTGTCGTCTTCCTTTCACAAATTGAATAAGCCTATCCTAAAAATTATGCTCGCCAGAATGATGATATCCTTAGCTGATGGTGCCTCAGAAACTCAACTAAAGAACTTCTATAATACAAAAATAATTGATACCTATACTGTGTATACACTAACATTTACACAAAACATAAAAATTATGGGATTCACATACCGATAAAGTCACGTACACATATACAAAAAACCAAAAAACAGGCTCACTGCGTAAAGAATACCGCGAAAAAAACGAAAAAAACAAAAAAACGAAAAAAATAAAAAAAGCGAAAGAAACGAAAAAAACAAAAAAAACGAAAAAAAACTAGGTTTCCAGCCGGGCCGCCCGGGTCCCCGGTGGCCAGCCCGTGCAAGGTCCAGGGAAGGCCTCAGCAAAAAAAAAAAGAAAAAGAACAAATTCCAAAAAATCCCAAAAAAAACTATGTTATGCAGAAAAATAAACTGAACAACTTTTGCCTCAGGGTCACATTGAAATTCTTATTTGGCTTAGCCAAATGACTTGAAACTTTACAGGCATGTACCTCACGTCATAGAGAACTCACAAAAAAAACTTCAGAAAGAAATAATTATTTTTTGGTCTCGAAATAATTTTTGGCGGGGGCCGAACACCATCGGGTTCGGACCCCGTACGGGACCCCAAACGCCCGTACGTACGGAGGTCTGCCCGGGGACCTCCGTACGTACGGGCTAGTGACCCTGTATATATATATATATATATGACGATATATATATATATATATTTCAGCCTCCTGATGAGTCGGTGAAACTCCGACGAAACAGTTTGTCACATCCCCTCGTTTGTTGTCCTCTTCTCCCTCTCTGCCTACGGTTTACCGGGCAGTTCTATTTGACGATATATATA